AATTGAGGCTGAGGGGATTTGAAGAATCGTGCTTCGTTTAGCTACTAATTAGTTAAAAAATAAATAAGAGGTGTGTGTTGAAAGCAGTTTTATCGGGACTTGATCCCCGTACTGCAATCTCGTTAAATTTAGTTGGGGGATAATTCTTTGGTCCAGTAGACGTATTGTAAGCGACCATTGGTTGAATGATGTTTGCACTTGAGTATTTTATTTATAAAGTCTTCTGCTTGGTTTGATTTTAATCTTTCCATCTAAGTGCAAACAAACCTAAACAAACACTTGCTCGATAATAACTCAGAACGACTATAATTATTTGTCAAAGATCATTGCTTTGAGTACTCGCTGGAGTTTAAAACACACGCATTTGTCACCCTTGGCTTTGAACGATTGCACCCTTTACGAGTGCGATAGTTTTAATTTTATAACGCTAAAACTTAATGACATTGTATTTTATGTTAAGCAAGTAATTATTCAACTACACGCGAGAGACATTGACGGCCCCAGATCACTTAAACTAGTAAATAGCGTTTTAGTTCCAAATAGTAACTAGCATTGTCTCCCTAGAGGAAATTCACAACATGCATCATTTTGCCAGTTCCGTTTACATTTAGTTTGTTTACACATTCCTTTTTCTACTTATTTCATATCGCAACTTGTGTACATCACGATGTATGTTTTATTCAGCTGAATTCCGGAGTCATTTTTAACTGGTGCTCTCATAACAGAAAATACACTAAGTCTTTTTATTTGTAACAAGTAAGCAGAAAAAATGTAATTATTCTGGTGGCGTGGTGCCACCCGTAAAGTTGTAATTGTACACGAAATCAGGTTTATGCCGGTCATTAAGGGTGAAATTAAACAGAAGGGGTGAGCTTTAAAGTAGTTGAAGCCTCGTACTAGAAGACAATGAAGCTACTGACAAGCACATGTCTGTCCTTTTGCATTACTCACGACATTATCACAAATTTAAATGTAACGGTCGCTCTGCTGACTAGAGACTCTGCTTCTATGCAAACTTAATTCATCTCATTTCGAGTTTGTTCGTTTCTCTATCTTACGTTTAATACAAAAGTTAAAATAAAAACCGGCTTTATTACTTGTTACAATATTAAAATTTTTACATATGTTCTTCATATTTAATTAAGTGTGAACAGGAGTCGAGAATGCGTATTAGGGTATTGTCCTGCAATCCTGCATTATAAATTGTTGCAATGTTGATAAGTTGATGTAAATATGTTAACATTAACAATTAATAAGCGACACGCACGTTATGCTTATAATGAGGTCCCAAAAGGCCATTTCAATATTGGTGCGTGCGTAAAAGAATTTATTTTCTTTGCGGTTAAACTGAATTTCATTTTGTCAAGTGCGTTTTTTAACCTGTTATCTTCCTTTATCACCGTTATAATTTACTTTGGGCTTATCCGTCCGAATTTTTACCCCATGTTTGAGTTCCGAAAAATTCAATCGACGAAATTGATTCAGACAACATACATGCATAAGTGATGAAGATTTGTAATACACCATTCATTAATCATGTATCCTGTTAAGCCGCCTCCCTAAGGAAAGCGCGTTCAACCTTATTTCTTATTTTTCTCATATATCACGTGAAAGTCTTGACACTTGTCAGACCGACCAAACAAACTCTAGATTGCGATTCGGAGGCTTGCTTTGCAATTTCAAATGCCAATTATGTATTCGAGACACATAAGCAATTCTCAGCCAGACGAGAAATATGAGGCATTTGAAATTCTCTGTCACTCACGACCGACGTGTTACTGCGCCTCAATGACAATAAGCTCGCAAGCCCGGCAGATGCCCAAATAATAACCACCCCAAACTAAATCTGACCAAGTTTTATGCGATGACAACAACGTTCTGGCAGCAAAAATTAAAACCCGCAAATAACCATCTGAGAATTTGCAACAGTTTTCTAAACTGATCGTTATGTTTTGAACTTTTGTGGAACTATAATGAAGAAAATTATATTTAAATCTATTGTTTATTTTATATTATGTTTATGAATAAATTTGTATAAAATTTTTTCTTTCTTGGAAGATATTGTCTTTTGTTCCAAACTGGCATTGTGGATCAAATCTATTAAATGTTTTGTTTTGTATGCGCTCCCAAAAATAGCTATATCTAAGGTTTTTATCTTGTTTGTTTTTTATTTTAAAATCTTAGTTCACGTGTTTTTTTGCATATTTGGAAACTTGTAACGGATATTGCTTGTTTTAATTATGTACTTTGATACTTGGAAACTTGAAATATAAGTGTGGTTGTACAGTTAAAATAACTACGTAAAACGGAGTTTAAAAAAACTGTTTTAAATATTCATTTGAAAGTGTCTTTTGCGTGGAGTGTAACGATTTTTTCAAGAAAATATGTGACATCTCAAATATTGGGCGATGCATAATTAAAGTATAAATATTTCAGTTTGTTTAAAGTGGGGGAATGTGGGTAGATTATGCCATTGTGCTCTTGGGCTTGCTAATTAAAGAACATGGCTGTTGAGCAAGGTGCATAGATAATAAAGAATTAAATTAAAACAGAAAAAGTTTGCAATGTTCGCCAAGTCCCTCCGCCCGCCGCCTTCATATCAAGCGAGTAGACAATTTTTCTGGGTTTGCTAATGAATTTAGGCCCCGTCCGCAGCCAGCTAGATTGCCTCTCGCTGCACCAGAATTAGTCCTGGCCCCTACACAGCCGTCTCAAGGGAACCAACTTGCGTCGTTGACAATTTGAAACTTATTTTAACATTCATATAGAGGTACATGTCCTGTCCCTAATTTATATGTATATTTATTAGTATCTGCATATCTTGTCGGAACGTAATGAACGCCCCAGACCTGAAAGAGTAGCCGGGGCTGGAGAAGGTTGATTTATTTATGCCTCCTGGAGAGGCCATTCATAACACAATACATATTTGACCCTTCAACAGAGCGGCGAAAAAGTTTCCTCCCTCGAAAATGAATTAAAATGCGAGTTTAATGAAGCCATGTATTTGAGTTAGCACGAGATCCGGACGGCCCGGACTCGGAATGTCTTCTCGTCTGGGGATGGCGTTAATTATGAGGAACAAGTCCAGTGCTGACGGCGACGACTCCCACTCAAACTCCAACGCCATATTCTACTAAAGCTACATTTCCTTCTTTTATTTGTCTTCTACTTCTACATTCCACCTAAGATCTTGTAACAAAAACTTTTTAATTAAAATTATCAGTTTTAGTTACGTGATTTTTGATTGATTCATAATAAATTAACAAAACATAGTAAGTATACAATCAAAAAACAAAACTTTAAACGTAAAAGAGAAGGAAAGAAAATTATTAAACATAATTTTCTATTTATTTATTTATTTTTTTTTTTGGATTAGTACTACGTATTTATTTTATTTTTTGATTAATGAGATTAAATTTTAATTAAACCAACTTCAGTTTTGACAGAATTTTTGAGTTCTTGTTGCACTAGCGATCCACCTCTTTTCAGATCTGCTGAATTTTTACTTGTAAATGAAATCATGAATAATAAATGGCATACTTTCCAGTGCAGGAATTTGTAATTGGGGCCTTAAGCACATTAGCCCGAACCGTCTGATTCTTATTGTTCGAGTTGTAAAGTAAACAGTGACACCCCTGCCGGCAAAAAGTAAAGTACCCGCCTTTTGCCATTTTAAGACAAACCTAATTTTCTCATATTAGCCGTCGCGTACAAAAGAAAACTTTTTCCCCGAGAGATATTATAGACAGCTGAATTGAATTCGGCTACGGTTGTGCTGTTATTAAATCACACGACAACTTTTAATATTTCACGCAACTTTTATCACGATCCAAGAATTATATACCTCGGCCGTAAACGAATCTAGCGGTCGTTTAATTGTCTTGTGGGCCATAATTGGATTATTCCTGTGGGCGCTAACAGATCGAGATCGGACCGAGACGTAATCCGAAATTAGTCGCGATAAAACGAGAGACTTTTCAATAATTTAAGACAACGGTGTGGATTTGAGGCATTGCCGGCCGTAATGTAGTTATGAGGCATTATATTTTAATCCTCGGCACACGATGCCGAGTTAACGGCGGCGGGAATACTATGAAAATTAAATGATATGGCAGTCTCGGAGGAGGTAATTTTAAACACTTCTGTTGTCATAAAAGATGCGAGAAAGAACCATTCCGCGACTTTGAAAAAGAGGAGACAAGGGACTCTGTTTTGAGAGTTAAATAAAATAACATTTCTATGAGAGTGCGAGATGGGAGGCGTTATGAGACTAGAGGGACATTACGACATTCATGCGGGACACACAAATAATAAATATTATAATACAAATGGCGGGCAGCGTGTTGTTTGCCCCAGCCCGACAATGCAACACATTGTTATACACGTCGTCCTGATGACAGTTTTGCTTCTTTGAAAAAGTTTTATCGCTGTCGCGGGAATGGACCGCCTCGAAGCCTTTGCTCGAAACGTGCATGCTTTAGTATAATGTCCAAGTGCACAGATACAAAGTAAAGAGATCTCAAGAAACGACAAATCTTACAATTAAATTCTCGCAGTAGCCCCCACACACACTTCCTATGTTAGGTTAGCTTCCTACGAATTAGAATAGCATACCTATCTTAAAACCTTATTCGCTTTGTTACAAAATAAATTATCTTTTGCTTAAATCACATATTTCTTTAAAACTAAAAAAGGTGTTCCAGTACTTTTCCAGAAAATAGTTTCCAAGTGGGTCGTAAAAGAGGTAGTGTTTTAATTTCTTCTATTTGTAACATCTGAAGTGATATAATTAAATTGTAGAATTTGTTATTTGTTATATCAGTCTTGAACTATTTTAAATATAACAATTTGTTTGTTTGCTGCTTCATTTCTTTAAATAAGCTGTTTAGATACACATAAGTGCTCACTTGTTTAGTCCCACTTAAATTTAATGATATTATCAAATAAACATTTGTATAAATTCTGTCTTACATAACCAAGTCATCAGTTGCAAACAAGACTTGAGAGAAACATGTTGTTTTTACTATTATTAGTTACATTAACTTCGATGTTAATTTTATACTTCATTAAACTGTCGACTAAGAATTTTGATTATTGGAAAAAACGAGGCGTGAAATATGTTAAACCTTTTCCATTTGCTGGAAATTTATTACCAACGCTACTGAAATCAAAATCAACAGCTGAACTTATACAAGACCTGTACAACGTTTTTCCTAATGAAAGGTTTGTGGGAATTTTTCAGTTTAACACTCCTATTTTGTTAGTAAGAGATCCTGAATTAATCAAGCTTATTACAATTAAAAACTTCGAAAATTTTGTTGATCATTTTGGATTCTCTAATGAAAAAGTTGATCTTTTATGGAGCAAAAATTTGTTTGCAAGTAAAGGTAGGATTTATATATTTTTTTTAATTTCTATATCAATGATGTTCGAATTTAGGCGAGCGATGGCGTGACCTTCGACAAACTTTAAGTCCCGTGTTTACAAGCAGTAAAATGCGAGCAATGTTTGTCCTGATGGATGAATGTGTAAAACAATTAATTGAATATTTTAAAGATCAAAATCAAAATGTTGTGGACGTTGAATTAAAAGACATTTTTTCAAGATATACCACAGATGTTATTGCTACTACAGCATTTGGAATTAAAGTAGATTCGTTAAGAAATAGAAATAATGAGTTTATGGTATCAGGACGAGAATTCACTAACTTTACAGGATTCAGAAGACTGGTGTTTTTTATATATGGAAGTTATCCAAAACTTGCCAAAGTAAGACAATTTTTAACAATAATTTACTCTAAATTGTAATTTTTAGCTTCTGAATATAAAAATGATCCCTGATCGCTTAGGTAATTTCTTTAAAACAATTATAAAAGAAACTATTACTTTACGAGAAGAGAAAGAAATTATTCGGCCTGACCTCATCCATTCATTAATGTTAGCAAGAAAAGGCAAATTAAAATACGAAGAACAAATGGATTTACCAGATGCTGGTTTTGCCGCAGTAGAAGAATCTAACATGACAAAATCTAACAACAATGTAAATTTTTTAAGTAATGAGGATATAACCGCACAAGCTCTTGTTTTTTTTATCGGTGGTTTTGACACAACTTCCTCACTGATGTGCTTCGCTGGATACGAGCTTGCTATTAATCCTCACATTCAAAAAAAACTTAAAGACGAAGTCAAAGCTACTGAACGTGATTGTAACGGTCAAATTACGTATGAAAAGCTTTTAAATATGAAGTACCTTGACATGGTAGTGTCTGAAACATTGCGTAAATGGAATCAAGCATTATGGCTCGACAGAAAATGTACCAAAGAATTTGAAATTCAATCTGAGAAAAGTGGTGAACCTTCAGTAAAAATAAAAGTAGGCGATATTGTTTGGATGCCTGCTTATGCTATTCATCACGATCCAAAATATTATCCTAATCCTGATGTTTTCGATCCCGAACGGTTTAGTGATCAAAATAAGGACAACATTAAGACAGCAGGCACTTTTCTACCATTTGGAACTGGACCAAGAAATTGTATTGGTTCTCGATATGCTTTATTAGAAACTAAGATTTTGTTGTATTATATTTTGCTTAATTTTGACATTGTTACCAACAAAAAAACTAAAATTCCGATAAAACTGCGAAAGGACGTTCCCTTTCTCTTACCGGAAAGTGGTTTTCATGTCAGTCTTAAAAAAAATAATGTTTCTTAAGGATTTTGTAAATTATAAATTTTCAGTGCTAAATGTTATAATGTTATTAAAAAATAAACAATTTGATTATGTTTATATACATTATGGATTATTTTAAAAATAACAATTTGACAGTTTGTTGCTTAATTTAATAAATGTGTTATCATGTTTAAAGGTCGTGAAAGTTTGTTTCAAATACTTATCTTATGATAACTTTAAATTTATTTACCATAAGATAAAAACGCATTTTTTCAATAAAGATAAATAATCCGATACGTAAACGCAACATCAGTTGTAAAGAAGACTTCACACAAACATGTTTTTCATGATATTAGTTACAATTACAGTAGTGCTACTTTTGTATTTAATCAATCTATCAACAAAAAATTTTGATTACTGGGAAAAACGGGGTGTGAAATATGTTAAACCATTACCATTCGTTGGAAACTTATTACCAACAATAACAAAGTCCCAATCTTTAGCTCAAATTATTCAAAATTTTTACAATGCATTTCCAAATGAAAGGTAATAAATATGAAAGCTTTAAACATGTTTCAAGACATTTTTTTTAAGGTTTGTAGGAATATTTCAGTTTACTAGTCCAATTCTCTTAGTAAGAGATCCCGAAATAATAAAGTCAATTACAATAAAAAAATTTGATAATTTCGTTGATCACTCTGACTTTATTGGCAGTGATATTGATCCTTTGTGGACGAAAAATTTAGTTGCTACCAAAGGTAAGACGTCAATCGATTAATAATAATTTACATTTTACGAGCGGTAGGTATAATTTTAAGCGTGAAGTTTTAATATTGAAGCTCGAAGCGAAGTTGAGAGCTTTAATAAAAATGAACGCTGTAAAATACCTAACGCACAAATAATGTACAAAACTTTTTGGCCAAAGATCGTTCTTCGATTAGGTAATTTAAATTTCGATTTGTCAACACATGACGCAAATTATGCGAGTTAAACAAAATCGGTCTTTTCATAACTAATCACATAAATTACTATTTATCAATGTTTTTACTTAGGTGATCGGTGGCGGGATCTCCGACAAACCCTAAGTCCTGTGTTTACAAGCAGCAAAATGCGAACAATGTTCGTTCTGATGGATGATTGTGCAAAACAATTAATTAAATATTTTAAAGAGCAGAACCAATATGTTGTCGACATAGAACTAAAGGACATTTTTTCGAGATACACCACTGATGTCATTGCAACTACAGCATTTGGAATTCAAATTAATTCACTAAAAAACATAAATAACGATTTTATAGTATCAGGACGAGAATTTGCAAACTTTTCAGGATTAAAAAGACTTGTATTTTTCATGTATGGAAGTTACCCGAAACTTGCTAAAGTAAAAAAATATTTACTTGCAAGTCTTTGAAATTATATTAACTATTTTTAGTTTTTAAATATAAAACTAGTCAGCAAACGCCTTGGCAACTTCTTTAGAAAAATTATAAATGAGACTATAGCATTACGAGAAGAGAAAAATATTGTGCGACCTGACCTCATCCACTTGTTAATGTCAGCAAGAAAGGGCAAATTAAAATATGAAGAACAAATGGATTTACCAGAAGCAGGTTTTGCTGTGGTAGAAGAATCTGAGTTGACAAAATCCAAGAACAATGTGAATTTTTTGACTAATGAGGATATAACAGCACAAGCTCTTATTTTCTTTCTTGGTGGATTTGACACAACTTCTTCTCTGATGTGTTTTGCTGGATACGAGCTTGCTGTTAATCCCCACATTCAAAAAAGACTTAAAGAAGAAGTCATAGCTACCGATCGTGACTCTAACGGACAAGTAACATATGAAAAACTTTTGAACATGAAATATCTCGACATGGTATTGTGTGAAACATTACGCAGGTGGACTCAAGGAGTATTTCTTGACAGGAAATGCACTAAAGGATTTGAAATTCAACCAGAAAGAAGTGATGAACCTTTAATAAAAATTAATACAGGAGATATTATCTGGATTCCTGCCTTTGGAATCCATCATGATCCAAAATATTATCCTAATCCATATGTTTTCGATCCAGAAAGGTTTAATGACAAAAATAAAGACAAAATAAAAGCAGGTACGTATATGCCTTTTGGCGTTGGACCAAGGAACTGTATTGGATCGCGATTTGCTTTACTAGAGACTAAGATTTTGTTGTATTATCTTTTGCTAAATTTTGATATTGTTACCAACAACAAGACCCAAATTCCTGTCAAACTCAAAAAAGGTGTTCCTCTAGTTTTACCAGAAAATGGTATTCATGTGAGTTTCAGAAGAAACAACAATTTTTGATTTTTTTTATTATATTCATACAACTATTCTTGATAAAACTTCTGTATAATTGTGTTTAAAAGGTGTAAATCATAGCCTTATTACTCTTTATATTTGCTTTATTTTAAAACATCCCTTTATTAATTCTTTCGGAAACTAAAAGAAGCTCATGTATTTAATGTTTTCACTACTTTCCAAAGTTAATATTCCTTTGGAATTGATCTATTATTTGTAAAGAAATAGAAATTACTTAAAATTTAATACATTGTAGAAAATTACATACATCATAAAATCCCGTCATAAATAGCGTCATTTAATTAAAACTAAGAAGAATTGAGGCAATTACTTCGGCCCTTGTAGTACACCCACAACGCTGAGCTTCGGTGCAGTTTCAACTTTATCAACAAACTGTTTGTAATCACAACAATACACAAAACCGCGTTGGTAGTTTGACCATGAACCCGCACCCCAGCCTACTTTACTGCAAATATTCGGACACAAAAAATGTTCTGTCACAATTTCTTTAACAAAAGGATTATTTAAATTAACCAAAACCACAGCTTGTCGCAATTGTTTCGAATAAATAATTTTCCACAAAAATTTAGGAACCGGTAGTTTACTACCGGAAACGAGATATATATCCACTTCATTCTCATTAATGTCCGGAAGAGTCAAAACGCCGTAAGTTCCTGTGATTATGGTTAGAGTTTCTTGAAGGTTATCAGCGAGCTTCCGTATTAATAGCTCGATTTTTTTCCAATTTCCAGCATTAATTGCTTGCCATTGAGGAGCCGCATTTATGTAATAATAAGACGTGTATTGAGTGGCGGCGTAGAGAAAATCCGCATCAGGCGATAAATGACCACGAGATAGAAAGGAGTTGTCATTAATGTATTCCTGAGCTTTTAAAGCTGATTTCATTAATTTATTGAATGTTGCTTTCTGAAACGTCTGTCTGTACGCGACGGAAACAGCAACTCCGGAAGCTTCAGGACTAAAAGCTGGGCGATAATTTGATTTGGAAGCGTCTGCAAACGGGAAAAATCAAAATATTAGTTTGAATAACTTTGAGAGCTTACATTTGATGTCTTGTCCGTGAAGTAAATGTTCAGTATATAGAGTGGATCCTGAACTGGGGTCGTAGCAAACCTCGATTAACGTTAAGAAATTTCGTGAGGAAATTTGGTAACCAATTTTGTAAATGCGTCCCTTATTATCCCCACATTTCTTCGTTGTTTTGAATACTGTTCCTTTAATAATCTTGTTGCATTGAAGATCACGGAAATTCACATCTTGATTGGCCACTCGTAAAATGTGTCCTTGCACGCACTGTGCGTGCGTAATGTTTGATTGAGCTATAAGAAAAAATGTGATTGGAATGAAACACTTGAAGTTTTCTTTCGTTACTTCCAACTAAATAATTCTTGGAATCTGGACACACCAACGTGACGGTCTCTCTTCTCTTCAAGCTGACTTTACCGTTATTGGGCACAATCAATGTCGTGTCGTTCTGCAATAAGATGGGAGAATTTTTCTCACTTTGGCCATGCACCGAAAAAGAACATCCTGCAAGAAACGTCGGCTCAATGGAAATCTTTCAGAACCGGAACCAGTTTACCTTTTTGGTTCGCTACGAGTACGTGTACCAAATAGGCGATAAAAACACAACCGGCTAGGAACAGCTTCATTTTGTAACTGTACAAATTAGCCATCGGTAGGCAAAGATGTGGTCAATCATGATAATTTTATCGCACAACTGTGAATCATGCTGCAAGCACCTGAAAAATATTTCTTTGTTGTAATTGCAAATTCTAAAGTGCAGATTTTATAGACCAAGAGACATTTTATCAAATTCGCAAGAGGATGAGAAGCTGGCGTGATTTGACAAGAATACCTTGGTTAAGCGAGGGTTCACTCTACTCAATCTAGTTCCCGCGTAGGAGACTATAAAACCATAAAACGCGATTTATAGGTTTATTGCTGCTGCTTCTCATTTGCGAGGCTACAAAATGTAAGCTTTTACACCTCTTCTTATGAAGAGGCGAGAGTTGCTTCATAAAGCTTTATCTGTGCACGTTCCACGTATTACATAACAATTTTTACAACTCTCATTTTTATATGCATAACAATTAGGCCCGCAATACACATAACACCTTCACGCATTTATATGCATTAAATTTGTAACAAGCTACAACCAGAATTAAATCGCTAACTTTTCTCGATTTATCATTTCTTCCTTAATATGTATTTTCAAATAAATAAAAAGAGTATAAGTAACAATGACATGGTTTGGAAATATTTTAGTTATTAACTGTGTACTTGTAAAAAATTTAGATTTTTCCAAATAAAATTCTATTTTCTATTAATTACAAAATAGAAGAAAACGGAATTTGTTTATAAAGTTGTGCTTAGTAAAATTTGTAGTAAAAAAAAGCTCTTAAATTATTTCATAATTTGAAAAAAATTTGTTTTATTCTAACGTTTTCATTTGTAACTGACAAAATTTAGACAACCAGAAACAGTTTTGAATATATTTTTTTAGGTATAAGAATTGACTATTGAGCTCCTAATTACAATTTTTTTTTGGTTACGTAAAACGATAATCTAAGCAAAATTCACAATTTCAGCCTCAGACTTAATTCAGCATTATATTTAGATCAGTGCAACTAAAGTCTGTTTTTTTTTAAATGGAAATGCCAAACAGTCTTAACGTTGGCACCACTAGTAAATTCATTCATGGTAATTTTAATAAAGGAAGTTGGCAGTTCCGGTCCTTTAAATTAATTTGAAAACAATGTCATTAAACGTTAACACAAAAAATCGTCTAAGAAAATTTAGAGACGAAACACCAAAAAAATTACAAATTCGGTACCGCTAACAGTTTTTAGAAATTTGGAAACGAATAGTTCGCAAGCAGAAAATTAGAAAAAGAACCCGTTAAAATGTAGACGTAATTTGTAATGCAGGTTTGCTAAACATTCTCAATTTTTAGCGCTTTCAAAGAGCAAACAGCCACACAAGATTCATAAAAGTCAAAATTTTGACAACATCTCAATTTGAAAACAACCATAACTTTTTGACAACATTTCTATGAACAAAAAAAAGAGCAAACAAAATTTGTGGCTATGGAGACAAGCTGCTACCAATTTTTTCACCAAAATTTTGACTTAGTAATTTCCATTTAAAGAAAAACAGACTTTAGGTACTTTTTTTTGACCAGCTAATAGTTTTGTGTTTTTCAAGACTCTAATTCTGCTTTTCTGACTAATAAATTTTTAACAAAGTTATTAGCGACGAAAACAAAAACATACAAAATGTTTAACTATGAAAATAAACTACATCTTTAGTTTCTTATACGTAAAATAAAGCAAAATTTAGAAATAAACTTTGAGAATTTGGGTGTGATTTCAAGAAAATGTCAGTGATTTTAGAAATAATTGCATAAATTATTAATAACTTTTTTCACACAGTGTGCAATTATTGTTATATCATTATTGGGTGGTCGTTGCAAGAAGCCATGCAGCGGCAATGATACAGAGATTGGATTCGCATGAACCTCCAAGTGCAAGTTCGTTTCGTGATTTTCTCTCTCATAGAGCAATTTCGTCCATGAATTGAGTCTCCGGTTGTGGAGTTTCCTTATTTCTTGCGGAGCAACACATTGTTCTTCCTTCTCCCGCGGTCATTGTCTCGCTGTTTATCTCGCTCTCTCAACGAGATGATTTTTGCTAGGGAATGGCTACGGAGATGATTTTTGCCGGGTCGTGTCCCCTGAGAACCCCTACACCGGACCCCTTTCGGACTCCTGGTCCCCATCCCTCTCCCTCTTTCGAGATCGCGAGGTGCGTGACTCGGACTTCTCTGTCGCCCTGCTCGGCAAGAGGTGATCTAGTGCACTCTGCCTCTCATAACTTCATCCGACCCGATCATGGCTCACCAGGGACTCTATGACAAATGTATCCTTCCGCCAACTTCAAATTAGTTCCGGCCGTATAGAGTGATACGGATAGGCGGACCGCCGAAACCATATTGCACACGTAATATAACAAATAACGTCAACTGTCTTCCGAACGAATATCTATTTGCTTTAGATGAAAACGCGGCCGTAACTCATAATACGCGGAAATACCATTCGATTTCCATCTTTAACTCCGACTCAGGGGTATAGAGCTGCAGGCGATGCCGTTACAAACCGACAAACTGCTCTAATTTGAATGCGAGAATCTTCACCAAAACAAAACAGCAAAGATGTATAGCTACCAACAAAAAAAAACACAATGCATGCTACCCAAAACTCAAAGGAAAAAATGACAGTCGTCATCAAATACCTAAATACGTTAGACTTGATTTGGCAATAATTACCTACTAATTTCTAAAATGTTATGAGAAATTAAAAACACATCAAACTTTTAAAATAAACCACAAACTTAAAATATTCCATATTAGTCATTAACTCATAATAAAGCTCTTGAAACAAACAGATTAATCATAAAACAAACTTTTTTGGCTATAGTTAATTTCTATATTCAAATTTAGTAGACATTAATTATAAGTATTGTAACATTGTTGAACACTTTATCTAAAAAATATTTTTTTTGTCTTTCACAACACGACACCTCGCTTATCATTAATTTACTGTGTAAGTCAGGGTCAGATGGTCACGCGGGAGTAATAAGCCGAGCTAAATAATTAAGGATTATGTAGGCATGAAAAGTTTTGGACTCTTTACGTATTATTACAGTAACTGTTGATTACATAACGATTAAAAAATAAAAAATTGCTTTATGTAGATTTAAACATTTAAACAAGCAATTGTGTTAAACAAAAAAATAATATAGGTGTCCCAAAATTAACAAAACGACTTTATGATACAGTATTATATGAAGTGTTCATAATTTAAAAAAAAATCTCGCAACAAGCTAATGTTCCGTTATGTTATCAATATAAAACACTAATAGGATTATTCATTCTTTAAATTTCTGTGTTCATAATTTTTAAAAAAATCTCGCAACAAGCTAATGTAGCAATGTTCTGTTATGTTATCAACATAAAACACTAATAGGATTATTCATTGTTTAAATTTTTGGTTTTGGATTATGTTTAATTTTTATTTTCATTTTTTTAAGTGGTTAGATAAATTAATCAAAAACATGCAAAATAATTTCAAAGTATTGCAGAGCTTTAAAATGATATTTATTTGTTTCTTTCTCACTTGTAAACGTTAATTTATCAAGTCACTGTCTCCATCTTGAAAATGTCTCATAACCGGCTAGCCAGTAGGTACAGCTAATTATACCTACGTATAAAGCTCATACAATTTTTCCAAATATCAGAATAATTTTTTTCAAATCAAAATTTCAGAATTTCTAGAATTTTTAATAATAAGTGAGGTTTGAGTAAACTTTTAATTGTAAAAAACAGTTAAGAGGGGCCTGATTTATATAAGATGGCGCTTGTGTTGGTATGTACAAGGGTAGGAGGCAAAGTATACTAATTTAGGATAGTTTTTTTAAACTTTAAACAGTTTTTGGAAATTTTGTATTTACAAAAGTAGGTCCGGTTTAAACTAGACCCCATTTGAAATCTTTCCCGTAAAAACTTTGTGGTTTCTTATGTCCCTTCATTTACGTAACCAAAATGTCGGTAATTGTTGTGGTCAGAAAACTTTGTCGAGTGTCCGGAAGACGGCAGATAAAAATGAAAATTGTTAAATAAATTTAATAAACAATAATGAAAATAGTTTTGTTATAGTTTCCTCCAATTTGACTGCGCCATCTTTGTTCTAGTAGTGGAACAAAGTAAGCTTTTTTTAATAGATAATTTTTTATAGCAAATAGAGCCATTCTCAACAAATCTCTAATTATTAAATAATTAAAAACATAACTTAAATTTTAATTTATGTTTTTAAATAGTAGAATTATAGTAAAATAGAGCTTATTCCATATCTGGTGGCAAATTGACAGTGACGGAAATACACTTGCAATGCGCCCACTTGGTTAAGATAAAAAAATACATGGGCGTACTTTTTTTCTCTAAAAATTTTGAAGGCAAGGATTGTTAGGAATATTATTTTCGAAAATTCTTTTCATGCGTTAACAATTTAATAATTTGTTAATCTTCTTCATCTTATGTACGAGTACCTACTTATTATAATTTTTTAAAGAACAAAAGTGGTTCTGAAATATTATTTCATACGACGCCTATGTACAATATTTTTTTTAATAATAAACATATGTTTAGTGTCAAAATTCAGTCATTTTTGACAACGTCAGTTCGCCACCAAATTTAGAATTAGTTGCTTAAGTAAAATAGATAAAAGTTTTAAAAATTTAAATAACATTCCGTGTGCACAATATATCAAGACCTAATGCACCTGTATTTTTTCTTTCTTTTCTTTTATAAAAATCCGATCAAATATTTTAATTTTTAATAACCACAACCCTCACAAATTAACTCTGTATGTTGATTAATAAAATTCGGTTGACCATTTGCATAAACATTTAGTAAGTATTCTATTAAAAAATATAGTAATTTACTCATTTTCCACAATTATTAAGTTAATTTTTAAGCACACACTTTTTGCTCACCTCGTTTTAAAACAAAACTCAGAAAGAATAGAGTTTTTTATTAGGTACTTTAAATGTAACATTCAAGTAATTAATTAGATATTTTTAGTAATGTTTAAGCTATATCTACTGTTTATTTCAAATTTATGAGTGAGATTCTTAAATCTGATACCTATGCAAACAAATAAGTTATTTTAAAATAACTCTCGATAAATCGAGATCAATGCAACGTGCGTAAGCACAATCACTCAATATTAATGTTAACTAAATAAAAAATCACTTACCAGTTGTTATCTAGTTAATGTGATTGACATTTGCTTCTCATACATAATCATTATGTAGTTATTTTTAGCAGAAATAGTTGATAATTTTAAGAGTTACGGTGGACATCTGACGGTCGGTAGCTAAACTTTATTTCTATTAAGCAAGGTAACTAAAACCTTTCTACAATAGCACGCTCTTGTAATTGATTTTATCTCAGGAAAAATTGCAGAAACCTCTTTTAAAATAAAACAAATTGTTTATATAAAAACGTCTATTTAAACTGTAATTCACATCTAATGTACAAGAAACAATTATTTTGTAATGGTAACTGCAAGCTATAACTTTTTATCAGAAGTTACAACAAATTATCAGTCATTGAACAACTACTCTACCTTATTCTAAAATTCAAATTAGATTTATGTTAGCTAAAGACAGTTAAAATTAAATAATTGAGGAAATACAAAGACACAATTAATAATACTGTTGAGCTTAAATAAAACTTTGACACGTACTCAACTGCAGTCAAGATAGACAGCACTTTGGTCAGGTACTAATGTTCTGCATTCATTAAAATCACTTAACTAACACAAAACTCATTTAATTAAACAGTTTAATAAATGCTAAATTACACTTTAACTCAGAGCTAACAACGGTTCATGCAACTCTCGCGAAGCTTTCGATTCTTTCGGGATCTTCTTGAGCTTATATTTCTTCTCAGGCAACAACTTTGCAAGTTTAGCTTTCGACTTCGACAATTTCTTCACCGGTATTTCAGTTGTAACTTCAGAATCCAAAAGGGCTAAACTCTCGATAATATTCTTCGGCTTCTTAACTTCCTCATGATGTTTCGTGGCATTTTTATTCACATAAACAACAACATATTGTGAATAGGCCGAATTGGGTGTGTTAATATCGGCGAAATCTCTGAAATTCTCAAACTGTTGGTGCTGATGCGGCCTGGGATTTGGCACTCCATGGTACGAGGGTCTACCATGACCGTTCTTGAAGAACGGACTGTAATCTCTTTCGTAATGACCCGACTCGGAGTCTTTATCGTAAAAAGTGCCGCCGCGAATTACGCCGAAATTTCCTGATCCTAGAAGACCTCGCGCTTCCGCATTGGCCGCTGTCCGATATCCTGTATCTTTATATCCGCTGAATCTGGGCGAGTCGTAGGAAAGTTGCTGGTGTTGGTAACCGGCATTGGGTCGTTGGCTATACGCTCCTTCCTGCTGGAAGAAGAAGGGCCGAGAATGGCCCAAAGGTGGGTTCTGAAACGGCGAATATGATGGGTAAAAGGTCTGTTGACTGGCTTCACGGTCGTCGGTCTCTTCTACACGGGATTCTTGGGGTTCCAAAAACATGTCGCTGTTGTCGCTGTCGTCCTCGGCGGACACATCTGAAACTAATATAGCTATTTATACTACTACATACGATTATAACATTTTTCAGTAAACACTTTACTCGCACCTTAGAAATAGATATTGGAAACAAATAATTGAAATGAGCTTTTTAAAAATATTTTAAAAAACATTTACAGAAGTGTTATTTAATTGCTTCATTTCCTTTTTAATTGCACTTGCAGATAGCGGAAGCTTTTTTCGTCCATTAGTTTATTGTAAAAGTTCGGCTCCAGCAAACATAATTATTTTGTGTAGATTAGGTGCAATGTTCAATTAGTTATTACAAAACAGTCTCTTTAAATTACTTCCTGTTTATTGATTTTATAGAATTTTTGCGTGATATTTGACAATTTATGAAATTACATACTGTTTCTTTACCAACGGAAGAAATTAAGCACATTTGACACTTTCCTAGGAATGTAGGTAGTTCAAAATTTCTATAAAAATGCAGCATTTAACTGCAGCAATTGCGAACTATTTGGAAAGTTTAAAGACGCATCTTATGTGATCGTGTTTATTCTTATTGTTATTTATATTAATTCCGCAATGTCACTTTCTCCTCTCTTGTACAAATGAATTTAGCAGAGCCATTTATGGTGAGAAAATTTAAATTTAGTTATTTTCTCATAGTAGGTAATACCACTATACTTAAATCAGAAATGAAAAAAAAATGGGTAAGAATTATAACTACATACTCTTCAAGATAAATACAAGAAGTAGATAATAAAGTTACTGCAACACACTTGTGTTTGTCTAATGACTTTCTATCTAATTTAATGTTTAATGCATTAATAAGCTTTCTTTTGGCATCACCAGAATAAATCTTTATTAAAAAATGTGTTAAATGTAGTTAATTTTCTAAGCGTCTTATTTGTTAAATAATCATATTTAGGGTAAAATAAATTTGTCAGTATTTAAGGCACTTCTTCCTTTGCATATGAAACTGAAAGAAGTCTGCTTTACGTAACAATAACACTCATAAGAATCGGTGCATAAAGTGCAAATTGTGTTTACTCTCATTAGAATTTATAATTAAATTCTGATTACATCCAAGTCTTTGTAATTTACCGAATCTCCTTACCTTCCCGACGTGAAAAAATCTTAATTTTACAGCCTGCGACCTAATTTCCAAACCTTCAACTATTTATTGCGTCAAGGTTGTTAACGAACAATTATGAGAAGAAGGAAATATACATTATCACCTTCAACACATTGTTGGAATTGTTCTTTTAACCCCAACGCCACGCTTCAGTTGAAAATGCATGATTATGAATTAATCACTTATAAATTCTTGTCAAAATTTTGCAACTAAAATTATTGTTATCTTAAGCAAATTGTGTTTTGTTATGTTATTTGCGTCGATAAGATTAATTGCAGCTTTCAACTAGACATATTTAAAATATTCAACAATAAGAAATTCAATCTAGCTTGTGCAATATTTTTCTTGTAAAAATCAAATTTTCATTTTTGAGCGAATTTCTTATATACCGTGTGTTGTACTTGACTATTACGTAAAAATTATCTAAACTGAAAAATAGGTAATGGAGGATTTCTATATTTCTTGCAGACGTGATGTCACTGAAATTGTTCAATTCTTCATGCATCACTGGACAAAAACGTTGGCAAACAACAACTTTTACTTTTATTATTATTTCTGAATATAAAATAAGTAGTTTGGTTGTAAATCTAGCCGAAAACGAATCATATGTTTGTTTCGCAACTGACAAAGAATTGTTTATATTGCTGTAAGAGGAAGGATCTTATAAAACTTTTGTTGTTATCAATGTCGACTTCCACGCTGAAACAAGGTTGAAGTGGTGACAGAAATAAGTTTTTTGATTGATGGCTAAGCGATGCTATCATCGTCATTGGAAAACTGCAAATGTTGATTGACTTCAAGCAATAAAAGCTAATGACCATAACAAACAATTAGGCATTAACGTACATCTTGATTTTATGATTGTTGGGTTCGTTACTACTTCCTTTTTTCCTTTTTGTTGTCATCACCCAATAAATTCTTAGATATTACAAACAAAAAAAGGTAAGAGAAGATGAAAATTTACCTAATCTCCTGAAAGCTGAAACGGAAATTTTTTAGAAAAATCTTGTAATTATTATTTAATCTTTCACCGCAAACACATTCTCTGCAGGATCAATAACGCGATAACTTTTACTTTCTTCCGTGAAGGTCATTGTAACTCTCTCCACATGTGAGTAATGTTGCCAAGTAATTTTGTGTAGATTTTGTCAAAGCATCTAGAAACTTGAAGAAAGTTACAAAATTTATACTATCGACAGGTGTTGACCAACCGGTTTTGTTGTTTAATCAGTAATAATTAAGTGATCTCGATATTTGTTTAATAAAACAAACAGGAAGAAATATAGAAGCGGTTCTTTAATCAATTTAAGATAAAATTTCGGTCAATAGCTCTTGTTTTTATGATTTAAGTATAGTATAGTATAGTTGATGATTTACTCACGAGTCTCGTCTTACTAAATCAATTAATAAACTCTTTCTTAATTGAAATTAAATATTTACAAATCGCTAAAACTGGAAAGCTTGGTAATTTCTAAAATTTAGTTCAATAATCAATAAATAGATCTCTCTAATAAAACCATATTTTTACCAAATTGCAACTTTTTGGCTTTATTTGGTATTGTATTGTGTCATGGAACACACTTACATATACTTGTATATTTACTCAAAATTAAAATTTCTTTTAATCACAACCTTTGCCGCAATTAAATAATTGTTAATGCTTAATTTTGTTAATGCCTGATTACGAACTAAATGTAGTAATTGCATTTGCAAGTGTGATCATGAACTTTCTTGAATTTAATTACGAAATTGTGTTTAGCATTTTGGAAAATTATATTTCACATCTTGACAAAAAAAGAAAGTTCTTGAGAAAATTTTGATATTGTTTTGCAAATCATGTAAATGCGATCGTGTTTGAGACAACTCTGGGAAAAAAATCAAAAAAGTTTTAATAATCTTGAAATTTTCATTAAAGTAACTTACGTTTGAAAGCTGAATTACTTTATAGATATTCTGTCGTAATTTATTGATTCATTTAATAACATCTATTAATCGATGTATTGTTTGTATCCTCATTAAGAATTCTTAACATTGTGACACCCAAACTGAACAACATGTTTGAATTATTTCATAACAAATTGCGAAAAATTTATATTTCCTCCCTTACGAAAACTTTAATTAAATAAAAGAGCTCAAGTTGCAAATGACCAAGAGCGTTTCCTTTCTTTGTTCGATGATTTGATAAGATTGTTATCGCACTGATGTTTCTTCAGATACCTAATGATAATAAAAATAAATATAAAAACAAAATGTTTTGCAAACCAAATTTACATCATATTTCTTATAGGTACTAATTTATTATATTATATTTATACACATACGCCTACATACCTATTGTTTTTTTTATAAATTAAATAATGACAAATATTTTTTAAACATGTGTTCAATTTTGGCGTTATATAATCATTATCTTTAGATGCTTACTTTCTACTTTCTTTCATTCATCATTTGTGATCAATATGTATATTACAACTGGTACTCAAAACCAGTTTGTGTTACAACAAACATTTATTATTTAAATTTATTTGTGTTTCCACACCGAGCAAAAATTTTTTTTCTTGTGGTTCCAAAAACAAAATACCCTTTCCCGTAATAATGAACTTGAATTCTATTACTCTGTTATTCAGTAGATATTTTGAAAAACGGAAAGTTGTTACGTTAGTCATCTTAATAACTGCTCGCCTTGAATAACTATTAGTTAACAAAACGTGTCCGATATGTAAAACATGGTGTTGCACGTGAGTTTCTCTTTGTTTTCATGAAACAATTAATTAGAGCTTTATAAATTAAATGATGTGTCAAAGCAATTAGTCTCGCACGGAGAGATTATATTTAGTGTACAACGATTTAACCGAATTAATTTTATTAGATTTAAAATTCTTCCGGTTTTACAAAATGCAAACTACTCTATTAACATAACGATAATCAGCAAGAAAAGTATTTGGGAGGAATCTAGGATTGGTCCTTTATTGCTATTCATAGAGTGACAGATAGTTTCACTTTTTAAGCTGCACTGCATACCAAATTTTGATGTTAATTGACTGAGACTGCTTCCGGTATCAAACTGCACCAATCAGCTGCTGAAATCGTGATAAATATACAACGACCAAAGCAAAAAAAAAACACTTTTAAAACTGAAGATATCAGTTTATGGCTTTAATGCTTTAATGTTGATTTAGAATAAATTAATTTTTTGCTACAAACTGAAGCTGGAGCATGTTCACTGAGTGACCATCAACTTTTTTCTTTAAATCTTGTCTCACAAATAAACTTTAACGCAAGCAGGTAGTGGTTCTTTTTTATTTTGATTAGTACCTATACAATTTAATTTCAATTTAAATTTGCCAAATTAGAAAAAAGTAGCACCTGTATTGCGGTTTCATGTTTTGTATTAATACGTATACAAGCTTAAATATAATTAGGTTAGTCTGTCGAATCACTACAGTATAAAAAGTTAAATGATCCAAAATAAAAAGAATAATAAAAATTATAATGTACTCGTATCTATATAAAAGTTTATTAGAAGCAGAACTTGTCAAATAAAGGCCAAGGCAATTAAACTTATCGACTGATCATAAGGAAATAAAAACATAATAAACAGCATTAAGAAAGGAAGGTGCAAAATGTATAAATATGGAACAAAGCAATTTACCTTTTGTTGCGTATTTTTATTAATAGCTATTATTAGATTTTTATTTAGTAAATTACAGCAGAATATTATGTAAAACAGAAATTATTTAAGCAAAAATAAGAAATGTCAAATGATCAGTGCAAATTCAGCAACCTAAATGCATATCTTCAAAATTATTGAAATTTTAGTATCTAATGGTTTATATTATGTCTGTGTCAAATCCAATCGAGTATTTGAATCAACCGGAAATGAAATTTGTTCTCACTTTCAAAAAATTTGAAAAAAAAGTCACGACCACTTAAGCGACTATGAGCAAAAAACCGTTTCATAAATTATCGTAAGTACATTATAATTTCCAGCAATTTGTCAACTACATTTTGCTAAACTATTAGCTGCTCACTTTCTAAATTACTCTCCGACAATAAATCATCTCGCCGAATCTTTGTTTATGGAGTGGAAAAATTGGTATTGTGCGGCCCATATTTTTATCTAATTACATAATTTCTTCCTTTTTTGATGCTCAAAAATGAGATTTATTGCACATTGAAATTGGTTTGCTAATTATGAAAGTGAGATGAGTTTTGACATTCCATCGTATTGGCAACTATCATCAGCACGCGTTGCATTAAAATTGCAAAAATAAGGATAAGTAGAAAGAAAAGTGCACATAAAGATAACTTTCCATCTTAGATCCAGGAAACTCATCACATGTAGGAAGATTCTGTCTATAGTTGTCTATTCCAAGTATGCAGCAAGCAGCAAATTAATGTGCACATTTAGTTGCGTAAAGATGTGCATCTTATGATTTTACGAGTAGGTAGAATGTGAGTGAAAGGTTTGGGCAATAGCGTCTTCTACATGCTGGTTGCGATGTAATTCACATTCTCGTCACGATTTCTCACATTATATCGTCTTTGAGTAGTGTGAAATGTCGTCAAATTAGAGATGACTTGTGAAGATAATGCGACGTTTATTTATTATTGCATCTTCTGATTATATAGTTACTGAGTTGTGCTTTGTACTGCGACAAATGATTTATGGAAGGAGCGTTTATTACCTAGTTTATTAAAAATTATACTTGTCAACAGTAGTCACAAAATTGACCAAGCAAATTATAGTATTTCATAATTTTAAATATTAATGATTCACTAATGAACTTTTAAGTTTTAATCCAACCCATTACAGAATCAAACCGCAGACTTAATTTGGCAATAGATGCTCTGTCATTTATGACCACAAATGTAATATTCTATTTTTTGGCTTTAGCCCGGCGATAAATTAGTATTTGGGCAACATTATGGCAATCGCCAAATCAGTCAAATGTTAAAAATAATGCCAGACAATTGGTTAGATTTTTTTCCTAATTGTTGAAATAACCTTGTGCAAATTTTTAACAACGCGCTCAATCTCCCGTAAATTTTATATAATGGCAAAAAATCTGAAGTCTCACTCGGAATCAACCCACAAGGAAACAAATTTCACGGAACATTTACTGTTATCCTTGAAAATAGATAAGGAAATTGTAACAAGTTCGTGCTTGCTCTATATCAATCTATCGTGACAGATAATTAAAGATTAACTACTTTTGTTTTGAAACTAGACAAAAATTGTCTATCTTGTTGATTAAGTGCAGAGAATATTTGAAGATTTTCCAAAATTTTGACTTACTTTGCGCCTCCCCTTGAGGATATCCAAACCCGTCAGAGATGACAAGAATTAATATTGCCACAACGTGGTATTTCATATTCTCGCGCACTTCCTACGTTCACCGGACACCAACCAACACTTACTCCACTCAAATCCTGCTGACAAACACCCGACAAGAACTTTCTATCTGCTTTATACAGTCTCTTACACTCGACTAATTCCCCACCTGACTATTGTTATACTTGAGTTCATCCACCTTCATTATTTTTTATGTTTGTTTAGTATTCATATTTTGACGAAAAAATTAGTTTTGCCTATTGTCCTTTTTAGCAAATTTATTCTTTACTTGAGCTTAATTATAGCTTAATTACAGCTTCATGACGGAAAAGAACTATGCTACTGTGCATGTAAGGTAGTCTATTAAATGTTTCTTCTCCTAGACTAATAAAGCCAAAAGTCGTTTTAAAAATTATAGAGAAATAAGTAGGAAAATGTTATTTAAACTGATTCGAACTAGCCGTAATAAAAGATATTTATTTTAAAAATTAAACAGCAAAATTATAAAATATTTATTTAATTATTTATTTGTCTTGAATTAGAATTAAAAATAATATTAACAACTGTGCTTATAAAAACAATGAGCTTTCAAATTTCTGTAATTATCAGTAACACAGTATTCCTTCAAAGATAACTTTCTTAGCATTTATTGAATAATTTCTCACAGAAATCCAGATGTTCTCAATTTCAATCAATTAAAATAATATGAGAACTAATTGCCCCTTTTCTATCGTAAAATTGATAATTGCTGCCTATAAATACCTACATTTATTTAAATTATAAGGTGTAATGATAATTGAGAGGATTTATGCAAGAACCAACTCTTTAACGCAATAACAATTAAAGGATGGTTTGTACGTAGTGTATATATTATTGTTAATTTGACGTTAAATTGAGTTTTAATATAACTGTTTTCACTAAATATTAAGTGCGTAATTTTTATTAATAATGTGAAAGGAATGTATGTAATAATTTGGGTATTACATGAATAAAAATTATGAGAATTTCATTGTGGCAAAAACAGTAATTTTGTGGACACTTTGTCGCTTCAGGTCAAAGACGCAATGCTTGATTTATAACAAGAAAGTCAAAGATGTAACGATGTAACCAGTAATGTTCGATGGAGAATATAATTAAACGATTGAATAATGGTTACATAGAAATAAAGCTGCGCTTTGTTAAATTTGAACCAAAATTCTTGAAAAATATTGAGAATGTAAACCTTGAGCTGAAATTGGCTAAATATTTTATAAAGACATTGTTTGTTTATTTGTTAAACAATCACGCAATGGGTACAGAATGATGCAGAATTTTGCGATTTTGTTGACAAATTAAGTACGTGGAGATCATAAATAAATTATCTGACAACATAACTTTCAATAGATCATTAGATGATAAGCCAATCAAGATAATATTTTTGCAAGTTAGATGGGAAATTATTTACTGTTTCTACTTGTTTTCTATTACTTATGTAAGGAAACTATTTACCGAAAAATTGTTACATAATTTCGAACAAAAAATTTCCAATAATTAACCTCACTTAGGTTTCCTTTCAGTCAAGAAAATTTTGCTTAAACGCGCGTTTTGCGGTTGTTTACAAAAATGATAGTTCTACCGTGATCTTAGATTAGTACCACACGTTTTATGTAACATTTGTAGAAGACTCATGCTTGGGAATATGAATAAATTATTATACACGTATTGTAAACATTTGCGTGAGAATGAGCTCTAAAATAGTTTATAATTTGGGTTATATGTACTTTTGCAAGTTAAGATGTTTATTACATGGAGTTTTCCGGCAAGTGAAAGTCCTGAATTGACCCGGGTCAGAGGTGAAGAAGATACGACATGCCAGGTTTTCATTGTTTTATATTGTAATAAAAAGCTTTAAACCCATTTCCCTTTTGACTAAAATATTGCAGAAGAGCCACAATAAATTCGGTGGCATTCATTTATCTTAAAGGCCACATTGGTTTTTTTAATTAATGAATGCATTATTCATGTTTAAATATTTTTAAATATTTAGAATTTATTGTAGGATCATTTATAATTTGTAGACATTGTAAATAACGATGGAATCATTTTATTATACATTGTAAATAAGAATAAATATAAAAATTATTTTAATTAAATACCTTGTGTTCGAACCATATCTAAATATAATCGTTGAATGTGAATTTTTTTTTAATCCCACACTCAACGATGTAATTTAAGGTAAAATACCTTTTTTTTTAATTTCGTAATTTTAACATTTTTATTTTCTAACAAATTCAGTTGATTAGTTGACAGTAAAAAATTATTATAAATTAACGCAGTTTTTGCATGAAATATGGTGAAACATTGCATTGAAGATGATATCTCGTTATCATTCCTAAAATGACAAAAAATTAATCATACAAGATAACAATCTTTATTACTATTTTTTGTTCAAGTAACAATATTAGTCAATTAGTCATTATGAAAATATGAACTCCTACTTACCTACTTATTTACAACCTGGTAGAGAATAAAAAATAATGAAGTAAAAGTTCTTAAGCGTCATCTATTTACTAGAGGCGAAACCAATGCGGAAAGCTGTGTTGCAGGTGCACTTTTAATAAATTTGATAATTTTGTTTAAAATTGGTTTAATAAAAACATTTTGTAGAAAAGTAGGAATTTTAAAAACACAATTAACTGTAAAATTTTATTTGTCATTAAAAAGAAAACTGTTAAGTTTACAAGAATAGTGCAGGAGATGGCGCTACCCAGTCTAAGCAGTCAATAGTTGAGAAAAGATCAATCAGTTAATGAGATACGAGATCGGTAGCGTGTTTATTAAGATTTTTTATTTTCCATCAATTAGGTGGCATTATTCAAACGATAATTGTGATAATTTTATAGCTTTAGATAGTACAAGGTTTTTGTCTGTGGTAAAATATAATTAAAGTTTATGCAATTAAAAAGATTCCGTGATCATTAATTTTCTAATACCTATCAAAAAATTTATATTAATAAAATTTTGAAAATGTATAAACAGTTTTTATTTATCCTAATGATATCATAGTTAAGACGTCTATATCTTATCTTGCACATTTTTCTAACATTTTGTTTGCAAACTATTCATGTTAAGAAAGGTAATTCCCTGTTCTGAAAAACCGTTGACAAATTTATGAAAAAAACACAACAAACAATAACAACTAGCGTCCGGAACGCGACCCGGATATTGGCGCTTACATTTGTTGATTTTATGTAATAAGTTAGGATGTTCCGGAAAAAGATCATGTATGCGGAAGTTACACATAGCTTGCGTCAAATGGCATTTCAATAAAATCGACTGTGAAACTAATTATCGGTTTTTATGATTTTGTCTTTTTTCTGTTTATGATCCTTAATTAAGAACATTTTTTAGATTAAATAGGCCGAACTAGATTGTATATTATCATTTTATGTGTTTTTTTTATTTAAGTAATACCTATTAAGTCAGCGTCCGGAGAAAAGAAGAGAACTAGTTGATCTCAAGCAAAATTAGAATCAGAGTGTGTTTTATAAATAAAAAGCAGATTTATGGAATCGTCTTTAAAAAAATAATTTATTAGGTATAAGTTAAATAAATAGGTACTTATTCTAATACAAAAAAAATCACAGATTTACCTAACCAATAGGTAGGTACGTTGATTTAAAAATGAGATTCTATTCCCGACAATGCTGTCGAATCGTCAAAATTATTCACTAATCACGTCCTTCCTTTACTTTTCACTGGTTTTTTTCTCTTACTTCTTGGAAATATTTTCTTCTTTAAAGTTTTAAAAAAAGTCTTCAATCTTCTGAAGTAAGTAAGATCGTACAATTGCGCAGTAGTTAAGTCGGTGTTTTCAAGGAATCCAATTTTCATTTTTTGAAGAGGAATTCCTTTAGGAACTTGAGTACGTTCAAAACTATCGTAAACTTCACACAACAATAATTTCAGATGATTAGTAAGATTTGTGTAGATTTCTTGTCTTCGGTTTTTTTTGAAATTGGTTTCAGTTGTCACGTTTAAACGCCTTAAAACGTGTAAGTTCCCGGCCACATATTGGAGTGCTTTGTGAAGTTCAACTATTTTCTGTAACAAAATTATGTTGAAACACTCATTTTTATAAATTTTGCGAGGTACTTACATTTTTTGATTGATCAAACGGTTTTAGCATTTTTTTCCTGTTAAACCATTTAAGTCGGGGCACTTTATTGCTTTTCTCCTTTTTATAAAGCTTAAATATGCTCTTCAAACTTAAATTTAGTTGGTGAAGAAAAGTTTCATATTGACGTTTGATGATTTCTAGATGATGTTTTGTGCTTCTTTCATGTCTCTCCGGGGCTCTGTCGATGCTACTGGTACAGGGATGATACCACCAAGGATCCATAGTGGGTGCACTTGAGCAGGAACGAAGAAGAGTTACCACAGTTACGAGTATTGTAAATTTAAACGAATCTGAAAAGAAAGTCCCGAATTAGTGGTGCAACAGGTGGCGGCGCCCGGAGCCTGACTCACGGTGAAATCCGCGTCCGGGGGCGGCTGTATTTATCATCGCGGTAAAGGATCATCAGGACGGACATGCAATTTACGAGAAGCGCAAGGTATCGCGGCTGCGGACAGACTGCGAGATCGGTCGCATGGGGCAAGAGGACCGACCGACACATTCTTCTAAACATGCTTATTTAGTGTTATTCAGTGCGGTCGCAGACCAACTAACAAATTAATTTTGTGATGAATGGTCGCCCGAAGTGGACCAAAATTGCACTCTAGAGTCGCGGAACACTCACATGACTAATCGTCCCCAATTTCTATAAACACTTATCACCTCACTATGCAAATAATTACCTAGAGCTAGGGCCATCTACTTGAAGTAATACTGAACGTGAGAACTTAATTGTAACTAAGTATAGTCTCATAACAAGCACATGGTTTTGAGTGAAAAACTGTTCTCGAGATAGGTTTGCTCAGTTCGATGTTTAATCACTTATGAATCAGTCCCGATATTACACTGCTTTTTCTGCCACACTTATCCCCCCACCATTCTCACGATAATCCTAGTACGTAACTTCATATTTATTTTTTTAACTTTTTTAAATATATTCTCACTCTAAATGGATATGTACCTACGTCCAGCCCAACGGGAAGTCAGTGAAATATTGATTTCAATTAGAAGCAAAAAACAAATCAGCAATTTAAAAGAGGAAATCTACCTTTATACCTACTAGAGTTTATCCCCACCAACTCTAATAATTTATTACTAGATGGAAATGATGGGTTTTTACAAAACCCTTTATGCGACTAAAAAAAAATTAAACCCAAAAATCCTTAACAGATCCGGCCCAGCGATCGATGACGTATAGATGACGACGTTCGCCCAGATTTCGTTAAACTTTGTGGTTACAAAGTTTGTTGCTTTGAAACTCAAACGTCATCGATTAATTATTTTTCTTTACATTTTGTTGTATGCAAATCGGTTTTTTAGGACCCCACGATTTGCCGTCACTGTCGCCTAAAGCTTCCACGTGTTTTAGTTCCTTTTTGAACTGTCAGTCGGATAATCAATCGTTGCGCGGATTCTAATGATTTTTTTTCGACAGAATCAATAAGAAGATGAAAGTGAACTAGTTTTAAGGTGCGCAGAGAACAGAGATTGGTCTGACTCATATATGCGGACGTTCTAATATATAATTCGATTAATTAATAAGCGGGTATTCTAAACAATGAAGTTTAAGAAGCCAAAACGTCCGATACATTTTTTTTTGTTATACAAGTCCAAATCGAAATTTGTAAACAAAGAAAATTGTTTTGCTCGTGAATTAAACATGATATTTAAATTTTTATCAAATTGGATGCAACAAACAGCAAGCAAATTATATATATTAAAATTTTTGACAAAATAATGACTCACAACAATTGGAAAAACAAAAACAAACATTGTTATCTTTATTTATTGTGCAATATTTTAATTATAGGTACCTACATTACCTATCAATTAACAATTATACGTAGGCGCTTGCAAATCAGTTAATGCCTAAAATGACACTTCGTTGAATCTCATCTTGCGGTAATACTTCGAGATTTAAATTCATCGAAGTTTTGTCTATTGTGCATTACCCGGAAACTATTCTTCACTTGAATTAATTTACAATTTTGAAAATGCTGTTACTGAGACAGGATTATAAGATATTCACCTGAAAGCTCACCGTCTCGACGTCTAGTATCTTCTCCCCAAAGAAACCGTAAAAAATTCAAGGTAATTGCCTGGCGGGCCAACACTGTGTAACTGATTCGAAATTGTTGCGTGATAAGGTAAACGCAGATAATCGTCGGGAGTATGTAATTGGGCGTTACATATGTATGAAAGAGACAATCATGTCATATTAGTCTGTCTTAATGAAGCAGGTAATGGCGGGTTCTTACACGCAGCCAGCGACAGGGCGGCCTGCTCATTAGTGCTGGATCCGGCAGGACCGGCCCTGCACAGATCCAACACGGGCACAGTATAATTTTCACTTTCTCCTGATATTTTATAAATTGCGAAATAAAACAGACTATTTAAGTAGTTAGATGCATTACCTCTTTGAAGCAATCGAATGAAATAAAAGAATGAATAAACCAGGATAGAAAATTCTTCGGCAATTTTTTCTTGCATTTTTTTATTATTTAGGCTATCAAACATGTTTTATCATGTTTAAGAAATTATTAAACAAACATTGTTAAAATCGTGGTACATACTTGATAATCATTTAAATTGTTTCATTCATAGGTGCATGTTTGGCAAGTTTTATTTCTGTCTTCCTCAACGATATTTTAATCTGATAACAAACCTTGTCATCATCAGATAACGATACTATGCTATTTATAAATTTAACGTATATAATTCAAATTTGGCACTTACAAAAATAAATTAATAACCATGTTGCAAACATTTTTACCAAATCTTGCTCAATGGGTCTCTTTGAAGTAGAAGATTTGTTTTCATAAAATTCTCTTTTTGAATCAGTTGGAAAAAAGTTTCACATCAAATGAACGTGTTAAAAAAGAAAACAATAACTTGTTATGATGGTATCGAATTCTTTAGTCATTATGCACTTTTTATCGAGATGTGAACATTACTATACAAATAGTTAAAAGCGGCAAATATAGTAACTGGTGTAAGGTCAGTCAATTCAATGGTAAAATTTAGTTTCTAAACCCGGTCCTGCATTATCGCTATCTGGTTCAGGGGTGCTGGTGGTCAGCCCTGTTCTCGTACATTCTGCTGTCAACGGGCTAATCGTCGAACATATCTGGAATGCGCACCCACGTCGACGCCCTCCGTCTCATTTCACTCCATTATTCAATGTCATTTTCTTTTTGGTTCTCATTGCATACGTCGTCTACCACCGAACCCATTGAAGTTCGATTCTTCTCGCGACCAAACGCAAGCAATAAATGGCGAATCGTAAATAAAGATTACTAAAAGAATTCGTTTTTTGAATAGAACAGCAGGAAAAAGTTATTTTTTTCTTATTTGGTGGTCAAATTTATGGAGTTGGGGGTGACCACCAACACCAGGCAGTTTAGGTCCCATTGCTGTATCAGTATTAACTTACACATCGACTATTTCAAAAGTAATTTATATGTCAAGGTGAATTATTGAACCTTGTGATTAATTCCCAGAAAATGCGGTCTAATTCTTGTTAATATTAAATAACGTTATATTAAATGAGCAATTATTTAGTTTGTTGAAGGAGCAAATAATTATGTAAATTTTGATGGAACACCTGGTACATTCAGATAAGTCGATTTACACTAATTTAATTTAAATTTTACTATAGTTATAACTATACAATAACATACGTTGGACATGAGTTATGGTTTTAAATTTATTTATGACTGAATTGAGTATGAATTATTTATGACAAAAACATAATTTGCAATTAACTCCCCATTCAATAGTCCATAATTTATAAAATTTTCCAATCAAATTTAAAGTATAACAAAAAATCATATGTGCTGATGTCATAACGATAATATTGCGTTATCACTTATCTGTAATAGATCTTACTTGACAAATCATATTAAGGGGATTCCTTAAGTCAATTTCCTTATTGCAAATAAAAACTGAATCATTTTCAGATAAAAAATGAAAAATCCATAATTTGCATTATTTATTAGTTCCTTGGCGCGTTGTTTACATAGTGGAATCAAGTACAGACATGCAATTATCGCATTTGTAAATTAAAAGTGTAATGTTTTGCTATTGTGAAAATCTCTTTTGTTAAGCGGCACCTGCATAAAGTGTAAGTATAATAATTTCACTTGCAATGAGACATGTGTAGTATCCTCGCCCACTTCCTTGCTACCCATTCATAAATGTAGAGAACATTTCTCACACCTGATGGCTAATTTGCATAGTGCACAGACTAGAAAATATATCATACGACCATATCCAATATGACCAACTCAAGGGTCGGCACATAATCTATTGTACTATCTTGTGTATATATTAAAGCTAAATTAATTTACAAAATGAGCCACTTGATGTAGGTATAACTGATTCAAGTCTCATCATGTTGCGACACTGATACCAACTTACTTATAACTAATGGAAAAATGTGTAATATTTGGTAAAAATGCAACTATTATACTGATATTATTAAAAATTCCTTTGATAAAATGAAATAAAATCCCCACATAGAAATTGCAAAAATTATGGAAACTCCACCGCGAATTAACATTGCAAATCAACAATTACTGCAATTAATTGTGATTTTATTATAGTACGTCACATCGTGGAGTAAGTTAATTGCATGTAAATAACACTATGATAAACAAAATACTTGAGAATTTTTAGCAAGAAGAAAGGTACAAGGAAAAATACAGTAAGTGAAGACAAGAGCGAGCATTTTTTTTCAAAAACGACAAGTCTAAAAGGAATTGAAACTACTGAAAAAAATATATTTGAAACAATATCAGTTACTAAAAACAAAATTCAAATTTTGTTTTTTTTTCTTGCAACAGTGCATTTCTGCAACTGTAACGATTTTACGTCATCGGAAAATCCAAAAAGTGATTTTTTTAACACACCTACATTTCCTGAAACAATGTTTGTTTAAGTAATTGTTCACATAACTATCGTAATAAGCAAAAACCTGAGTTTTTTCCCGGAACAAGATCTTAAAGATTATAAAAATGTACAGATCCTAATAAAAAGGGATTATTCGATAATTCTTTGATATAAATTACACAACAATTATTATTATTATTGTTCCAGTGTCATAATTGCTAAGAAACACAAATGCGTCATATCCATACCATTATGCATTAAACCGCAAAAACATAATAACAAATTAAGAGGAAAATCATGTGGAAACCTCAAGATTGCGACGAATTAGAGTAAGCGATTAAGTGGGTATAGAGAGATACAAATATTTCAAAAAAATTCAAGCATTTAAAAATGAAAAACCCAGATTAAACTCGAAACAAAAATAATAAAGATTTGCGTGCAGATAATTCAAGAAATCTCACTGTCACCAACAGATAATTAAAATCTACGGATATTGTAATGATGCCATTAAATTCCACCTTTATAATATACTAATGAGGTTATATACACAGGCGAGTAAAAACTTACAAAAACTTCGTTTCGACATTTTCCGGCCATCACACTCACCACCTTGCACACTTTTCTTTGAGTACTGACGAGGTGACAAACTAAGTGTACTTAAAGTCTTGTTAATCGAAGTGGGGATGTTTCTAGTTCCAGGTAGAATAATCAAAGGTAGAGGCATCATTTTACACCCCCTACTCATTTATAAGTGTCAAT